CATAACCCCTCATAAATTAGAAATAAGAAAAATACCACAAAGGTTATGCAACTGAAGAAGAGCATGGTATCAATGGATCAACCAGAAAAATGGGGGGAGAGCAGGAAGGAAATATGAAGATGACCTCTGCAACAAACGTTGATTTGCTCTGGAAAGGTCTCAAGTATAGCAGAGCGCATTGCATTGATCCTAGCTTCCTTCCGATCAATTTCTTGAAAAAAAACATCAATAAAGAAGAACATAAACTTCAGGCTCATATTCACATCGTGGAACTAAACTGATTGTAAAACAATATTAGATACAATTGAAAGTACAGGGAGAAAAAGTGAATAGCACTAGACATATCAAATGCTCAATACCACAGCTTGCATATCAATTTTAAGTAGATCAATCAACAAGCTAGTAGGAGACAAGTAACCAGTGGCACAACCCCTTATAAAGGAAGAAAATTTGCATTTGACCAAAAGTTGGGCTCAGGATCTGTAGATGAAGTCTGTGAAGATATTAAATATGACAACAGCAAAGATATGGCAGGCTGTTGACCGGTGAACTTCTCAAAAGAATAACTAAACATGATTCCCTGTGGTTTCTTTATGGGCACTTCATAATAAACAATATCATTAAAAATAACTCTACTATGATTCATTTCAGCAGTTCATAAGCAGAGAATAACAGCATTCAGCAGCATTTAAAAAATAAAAAACCATTTGACAGAAAAATATACTAATAAAAACCATGGGTTTAAAGAAGATAGAATTCAGCCAAACTTACTATAGGCCTCTAACAAGGCAGTCAGCAAGAAGCTGGAACTGGAGATGAGGGTAGCTCCCTTAGAACATGCTGTAAGTAAATGTTTGTGTTAAAAAGAATTGTATAATCTGACCTATAGATAGCTATAAAAAATACAGGATTTCATGTTTCACTTGTTAGGTCAAAATAATAGCTACCGTCTGATTAGAGATTTATAGAATCTTAAAGATTAGAGATTTATAGAATCTTAAAGAAGATGACAGAGTGAATCATTGATTTAATATCAGAAGTCCTTGATGGAAGCACAGAAAACTGGTTGACAAAACTAGTGCCCAACCCTCCCAACAAAGTAGACAGATTTTAGCTATTCTCGTCTCATAAAATTACTAAGCTAAAAAAAGAGTCAAGTAAAGTCAGAGATTGTTTCTTTAGCCGGTTTTAGAAAAGGTCAGAGATTCACGGGACACCCGCACCAGATGTTATAAAAGTGATTCTTCCCAAAGCATGACTAACACTGGATTTTCCCTCAAAAGTTCAAGCATCCATTCCAACAAAAGACATCAAAAGCAGCACACTCTAACCCCAAAAAAAAAAATATCTCTGTACTTATGCTCAAAGCCTCTAAACTTGATCATCATAAATGCTCCAAATTCTGAGAACGCACCCAAAATTCACCTAACACTCCAAAAAGCAAGACACCTCATCATAGAACCTTGTCCTAGATTAGTTTTTCATATATATTTTCAAAAAGAATGGGCTGAATTTGACCATCTACATTGTTAGAGGAAAGCTACCAATGGCATTTTCTTCTCCCATCTCAGATTTATTGAGGGTTGGACACAGTAAATCTAACTATTTTCTTTTCCATCCTACAGAATGTTCAACATATACCTTGTCTATTATTTTCGTATGGATATTAATTTTTACCAATAACCCATACATACCTTAACACAGTCACAACGACATGGGCATCCTCATCAGACCAAATTCAGTCTTGCCTGGAAAAATAAGGTGAGAAGTAAGGCACCCACAGGCCACAGGTCCATAAAAAAATAATGGAGATACATATATATATGTATATATCTGCATATCTAATCATAAGTTATCATCCCCATAATGTATCATCTTTTGTGGCCTTTCATCTGAAAAATTGGGATAGCGATGCAAAGAAATCAAATGATTGATGTATAAAAATCACTTTACTTATGAGATAGACTAGTGGCAAGCCAATTTTCTTCAGTAGTATACTGAATCGTTCCTTATACTGAGCTAAGGAGAATTAGGGTTTTTAAGTTTCAGCTAAGTATGAATTCCATAGAAGGTGTCAGATTTAACAGTGTCCATGCATGAGAAGATATGCAGGCACAAAGAATGACCGAAAATGACTTCATCCTACATAAATAGGAATAAGGAAAGGAATTTTTTTCATGGGGGAAAGAGTAAATACTTCATAACAAGCATAACAACAACAACAAACAACAACAACAATAATAAATCCTTGAATAAGTGCTTGAAGAGCTGGTATGATGTACAGTTGGTTAGACTGTCCATATGAAACTAGTTTCCCTTTCTTTCCATGCTTTCCTCTTGGTTTGCAAATGGTACCCCAGGGGACTTTGTCAGTTTTCCAGGCCCTTTAAAAAAACATATTTATTGTCATCTATAGAGAGAACAATGGCACTAAAGAAATTATTAGTACCTTGTTCATATTCTTGAACCCTCCGGTCTACTTCCTCAACATCTGCAGACTGCCGTAAATACCTTCAACTTTAGTTCCTGCAAATTACATATGGTAAATTAAACAGCAACCCTCTACCAAAGAACAGGGGAAACATTACTCATGCATACAACTTATTTTCTCATTGGAGAACTAGCTAGCATGATGAATAGCATCCAATTGCAAAAGGCCTCAAAACACACCAAGGCGGGCCGTGGTATATGGCATATTGCCAGGGCTCCATTTCAGAAATATTTTAAATGACGAAAATGTTACAAGAACTCATAATAAAAATAAATGAACAGGTGCAACAGACAAATTATCACAATAACATGATATCCAGGTATATAAATCAGTGGGCTTCATCTTGATGGAGTAGTTGGCGATCAGACCTCTAGTTATGCCCTAGGAATCATAAGGAGTAGAGATGAGATTTAGAAAGCTGTGTTTAAGACTTCAGAACCAGAGTCGCATGTTGTTCTGCTTTCAACCATTGGCAATAACAAGGCTATCAATTAGACACACAGAATGTATTTATGGAGAATTGCTAGAAGTGTAGCATCAGTTTCAGAATCGAATCATCTAGGATCATGCAGTCAGGTAAAGGGAGAGAATAATAACGCAAGTTAAGGAAACTGTACAGGGGACCCACTTTTCCTCTTTTAACATATCTTCAATTTTCCCTCAATCTCTTGCTGACTACAACATATGCACTCACTTTTGTGATTGCAAAATACCCCTATTGCTTAAGTTCAGTCAAGAGTAAGGCAAGAAGCAGCAACTGGTAGCATGGACATGGTGTAATGCTGAAGCCACATGCTGACACAATTAACAAGTCAAGCTATCATGTGAGTTGAGTCTCATAAATAATAAACCCAGTATTCCATGAGATGACTAAAAGAAAATTCAGCAGCAACTTATTTCTATGTCTATATCTTGAGTAAGAACAGGAGTACAAGTAGAAAGTATCCACAAAGAGTGTCTAACTTGGGTTAGGATTAATTTCATATTAACAAAATGGAGCTCGGCATAACCTACATTTCAACTTGAGAAGTGTCACGAGAATGAGCTGGGCCCGTGTTAACCCCATTTAGCACGAATAAATATCATACATGGGGAGCAAGTCTAATTAGTCATTTCAGTGCCTGCCTCCCAAGGGACGTTAAAAAGTGAAACAAAATAAAAACTATGCTACAATACAAGCTTATGGCAGTGAAAGCCTCCTTACTTACCATGATTCTCAAGAAACCGAAGAGCTTTTTCAAGGAAAGATGGACCTCCATCAATATCCTCTAATGCTAGAAGAATTGGTCTTCCAACAACCAAAGACTTAACAGGCCGCTTATCCCTCCCTAGATGCACAAGACAAAAACAGGTGAATACAACGATTACAGGATGCTGGACAAACAAATAAAACAATGATAAAATCTTAAAATAAAACCACAACGTACATGAAAACACACAAGGAAAGTTCACATATAATTGAACTATGTTATTAAAATTGAAACCATAAGTGAAAATGTAACAGCGTGAAAGACAAACATTGATTAAAGGACCCTTCAAGGGAATCACTCGCATCGCTCCTAAAAATCCCGTTGTGGCCCATGACAAGAGCAGCACTTGGTGCTTGTGCTAAGGCTTGCTCAAGAGCTGTCTTCCACTCATACAAGTCTTCTGATGTCTCAGCCTAGCATTTGAGAAAACAATGACTAATTTGTATAACCAGACAATTTCAAATGGCGGTTAAAAGTAATGGCAACTGAATTTCCATCTTATTATTTAGAAATTTAGTAGTAAATGAGGAACCTTAAGGGTGAATGCTCTTCCATCACGTCCATCAGGAAACAATACAGTGAGCAGCTTCTTGTCTTCTCTAACAACAACACTGAAAGATAAAATCGCACTATAAGACAGATCATCCGAATGTTACATTAAAAGGATTTCAATAAAAAAACTCACCTCCCTGAATTGTTTAAGTCAATACCCCCCAACGTCAGATTTACTTCACCTCCTTTCTGTGGAAGGGCACTCTACATTACAAATTAAAATAAGCTCTATAAGTTTATACTCTATTCTGTGGTCACCTCCTATTCTCTAACCACAAATGTGAATGGACAAAATACCATTTGTCATGGAAATCAGAATAAACTATATCAGTATTCTGATATTGAGAGTGGGAGAAGTTTGATCGATGACAATTTTACCATTTGCAAAATTATGACATGAGCATATTCTTAATCCAAGGCTGATTCATAAAGAGAAGAAAAAGAATTGAATGCAAGGGAAAAAAGATTCCACGTAAAGATAGGTTAGATTTGTGAGATACTAACAGGATCATTTTTAAAGAAAACCAATGATGTACGCGTAAGTATGAACCACCGCTTCTTCCAGGATTTCCAGCCTATTCCTACAAAAGTTAAAAACAGAATATCATGAATATTTCCATATCATTAATATATATAGACTACTCAAAGCCTTATCGTTCACAAGGATGCAGCTATTAGCCTTCCATGCAACAAATTGGGTCCAGGATCTACTTTAATTTACTTATAGTTTGACAAAATCCATGAAAACAAAGGCCTCTAAAATCAGAAATAGCCCCCTTCCTCTTTTCAAAAGAAAGAAGGAAACAAAAAAGGAAAATGGATATAATAACAAACCTTTAGAAGATATGAAAAGTGGGCCACTTTTGAAAACCTGCAAACAGTACCGTAGGTTAGAAAACAAGAAAAATCACCATTTACTAAGTTCTCATTGAAACAATCTAAAATCAAACACTTAAGACTGCAATACATAGAAACCTTTCGAGCTTTATTTTTAGGTGCAAATCACCAATTTAGGTAAAAAATTAAAAAAAAATTATAACTAGCATCAGAACATCTGCAAAAGCACACTGAAGTGGGGCAGGAAAACACTCAATATGATCAATATTCAACAACATAATAGCTTGTTTAGATGTTTTAACTGCCTGGAGTCAGGATGGTTGGCTCTAATAACAAATCGGTGAAAATAGAGCCAAATTTGGTACTATCTGCCAGGGTCCTATTCTGTTTAGAATCTTCAAGATGCTTGGATTTAAGGAAATTAAAAGCTGACCAAACAAACTATATCTAAAATTCTAAAATCACATCCGAATTTATCCTTCCTCGTGATGACAAGAATTCCTTCTCTGATATCTCTTCTTTGTCTCTCAGCTGATATAGTTTCTCTCTTTTCATACTACATAGCCTGCATCCTATGAAATTTGTTTTTACGTTGATTGACTTAGGGGTCCCACGGTTCAATTAATCATACTTCTTGGAAAGTGAAACTTCCTTCCCAGAAAGTTCATATACTTCTTGGGAAGTGAAACTTCCTTCCCAGGAAATTGAAATTATTTTTTAAATAAATATATTTGTTTTAATGTTAAAGGCATAAATACGATTTTTCTAAATAAAATATTTTTTAATATTAAGGTGTTAAGGGTATTTTTGGAAAAAGATTACAAAACACCAGGGTAGTAGAACTTTCCTGCGTTTTACTCTAGAAGTTAAATTCTCTAGTTATCTGGGAAGTTTGGCTTCTAACTTCCCCAAATCTTGGATTGTTTTTTGTGCCAAGCAACAGTCACTGCTCTACCTTTCAAAAATTTAACTTTCTCCCTTTACTTTCCCCATAACAAGCATCCCTTCAATTGCCATAAGTTTTATCAGCTTTTAAAAAAACATAGAGCACTATTTATCTAGCAAAAATGGAGGATGACATCCTCCCTATAAAGTCCTCTCTATATATATCGATATGTGCTGTATGCGCACATACATGTACACATGTTCATTTTCTTTCTAACATGTGAGATTTAAATAACAAAGTTAGAGTCCATTAACAGTTTCATTTTCTATAACACATACTTAAAAAGTAAGAAATAAATAATCAACCTTCAATAGTTTCATATGACATGTATTCCATGACTGAGAGTACATAGACAAGAACCCCAGAAAGCATACAAGAAATCCAGTAACCATTTCAAAGAACAATGCAGGAAAAAAAATGAAGTTTCCATGAGATGACCAATGACCACAACATGTCGTGCAGACTAAAACATCATAGAAGACCTTTACAAAACCCAATTGACTAGATCAGGGCCTTGGCTGATTAAGAAACTGCAATATATTCGTTTCACATTATTCTATTTCATCACTCAGCTCTACAGTCAGGCTGAATTACTTGTGTCCAATTCTTCTTATACCACCCATGAGCCTTCTAATTATTATAATTTCAACTCACCAATACATATAAGACACTTACATCTTTGAAGAAACACCTCTTGTAGGGTCTTGGTCGTAATCATTGGGAGGACATCCTATACCCACCCAAATATATATATATATATATATATATCTTCCTTAATAGTTTCATTTTGTCTATTAAAGAAACCCTTGGAACATAGTTTCACATCAAATTCAAAGCCTAACATGGAAAATAAACCAAGAAAGGCCTAGCTTAAAAAAATTTACTCCTTTAACTACTTGCTGCTTGATTAGCACAGACCTGTGATAAATCTAACTTGTCCCTGTTCAGGCAATAATCAACTTAATTCGCAAATCACAATTCCTGAACTTTCCATCGAAAGATGCACAGTTAACCCGCCGGCATTCAATCCCATTCCAGTCATAGATATCAGAAATATCAAAGATTACTTTCAACAACTGTCTTTCAAGTTGATTCATTTCTTCACTGCCTTACACCGCAAAAACAAAACTTACAGTGTTCGAAGCCCCAGGCCGAGGGCGCTCGAAGGGAGCTAAAGAAGCCGACATTTCCCCGGAGAATCACTGTAGCAGCGGCATTGAGTCTGAGTTCAAATCCAAGCAAAACCATTACCCAAAATGCTTTACATTTCAATCAACCAAATCATTCCAGTCAACAAATCAAAGATCGGCTTCTAAGCTCCAGCAACAGATCAAAGATCTGACCCCAGAAATGGCAAACTCTGAAAGCTTCGGATTCGATGGGACACTCTAATCAAGGTCACTTCAACTTCCCAATCACCTCCCCTGATGTGGGCCAAAAAAAAAAACGAACTTTAAGTCGGTCAGAAAACCGCTTAGGACTTGTTCATTTTCTCTCGCTTTCTCAGCGATTTTGCCAGAGTTTCCGAGAGGATTAGGTGGGGAAGAGCAGTGTGTCGATGACAATAACATGAAAAACTGAGGCGCTGCTTTGCTTTTCACTTACTTCATGGGTCCATCTGAACTCAGAAGAGAGGGAGAGATGATTTACAGAGACACAGTGAGAAGGGAAGGAATGCGTTCTTTGTATTCTCAAGTTCAAGTCTCTTCCAGTAAATGTTGATGTCCCGTAAAATAAGACTCATCTTCCATCAGGCAGAATTAAAAAAAAAAAAATGCATAATGTTTCAAGAGTCAAGACAACTAATGTCCCATCGTTACACGGTCTCCATCTTTTTCTTACTTTTGATAAAAAAAAAAAAAGACCATATTTCTAATGAAAAAAAAAATAATGGAGTGACTTTTATTACTAAATTATGAATTGTGTGATTATTAAATTTCTAATATTATATAAGAAAAATATCAATTAAGAAACGCTAAAAAAAATTATATAAATTAAAGATTACTTACTATCAAAATTTAAATACATACTTATCAATTCGGTAGTTTTTTATCAACAAGTATTAATATAAATTTTAATAACAATTCATTTTGAATTAACAATAATTTATTTAAATTTTTTTTATTTAAATTTTAATAACAAGTAATCTTTGATTTATATAAATTTTTTTTGGCGGCCCTTTATCGCTTTTTTCCTATCAAATACTCCTTCTTATTCTTTTTACAAAGCATTTTTAATATTACCATTGAAATCTAGAAGAGTCTTGAAACTAATTAAGTGTATCTAATAATTAAAAAAATCAAAATTTATCCTTATTTAAATGCATAGAGTGTGATTTTGAAAAAAATAATTAATATTGAATAGAGGCAATGTAAAAAATGTAATAAATATTCTACATGGTTTCTTATAAATAAATAAAAAAAGATCACAAATTTCTCCTATAAAAATCTTCCTATGAGGACTATATCACACTCACGTTTATAGCGAAGCAATATAATAGATGTTAAGAGTTAAGACATAAGAGTAAAAACTCTATACTTTTTTAAGTTATTTTTTGAATTTGAACTTTTTAATTGAAAAATTATATATGAAAACTATTCTAATTGATTGAGCTCAGGTAATGCTGAATGCCCACCAAATAGACTCGCAACTATCGAGTATCTAAAATCATCATGGCCTGGTGTAACAAAATTAGATGTGTTTTTATGCAAAACTTATGTGTGTTATTATTACATAAAGTTAAAAACTTATTATGCATTTTATTCATAGATTAGTTATGTATTGTAATAATTTTTTTACTAACATAACTTTTTGGTGAAAAAGGCAAAAGCCCAATACTATTTAGTCATCTCTTAGGCATGACACATCAAGCTATCAATTTATAATAGTGACTGTGAATCTTCTGGAGGCTCAAATAAAAACAAAGCCTTAAAGTCAAAACTAAAGTTGTTGTTAGCTAACCAATTAGTACATTGATTACCCTTTTTTTTTTCTGCAGACGTGTCGAAACTGAACTTGCCAATTTACATCAAGTTCTTCAAACATGAAAGAACATTTTTTTTTGTATTACTGTTAATATGTTGATTGATTTTTTTATGATTGATCTCAAGATAGAATTTCTCTGTCCAAATTTTTATGAATCATGGGAATTTTTTTCTTCCTTGTTATGTGAAAGAAGTTCAAAACATGGTGATAATGAATTTCATGAAATAAGGGTTAAGTGTGAATGCTGAAAAAACGTGTATTTGAGTAAGTTATCTTTTATTGGCCTTGAGAATGTTTAAATTTAATTAGTTAATACTATATTTCAATTACTTATATTAAAAATACTGTTCAGCTGTTATGGTTTCATGATTTTCTGATGATTTGACACCATCATATAAAAAGCCTTGAGGGTTACCTAGAAATAATATTGTCCTCAGGTTTCCTTGATATTTTGCTGACTAAACGTTACACTCAAAACAAAGCATCCTTTGCGTGTGTGTAGAGTCAATGAACAAAATAAATTTTAAAATATTGTACGAAAAGCATATTAAATCATAAATTTTTAAAATATATAAAATAAATTATAAATTTTTAAATTTAAAATATTTTAAATCCTATTATTATCTTTTGGTTAATGCCATTATTGTTCACCGTAAGGCCCAATCAAATACTGAAATGGCAATCCCTCGCTAACGTGTCATTTGTTTATTAGCGTCAGGGATCCTAAACTATTAAACCCCTCCGTTAAATAATGTTATAGACCTTAAACTTTAAAATTCTAAGCAAATTACTCCCATTATTTATGCATACAATATTGATTGTTATATAGGCTAAATTAGTATTAAGCGATTCGTCGTGGTGAACGCATTGTTGGCCACAGCAAACAACCTATAATTTTGTGAAATAATGCTTTTGCCCTCTTTTTTTGAAATATTTTATAAATAATTTTCATTTGAAAAGAAGTTTAAATATCAAAGAATTTTAATATAGTTTAGGTTTTAAATTTGTTGATGAAATTCCTCTATACTTAAATTTTTTTTCAAATGAGATTTTAAGTTTTTACCATTAAATAAATAAATATTATTTAAAATAAAATTAAATTAAAATTATAAAATATACGGAAGCATAAGATACTCATCACTTGAAAAAAATTGCAAAAAAGGGGCAACAAAATCATTTTACAAAATTATGAGTCATTCATCACAGCTAATGCTGTGTTTATTGCGGCTGACCATAATGAGACCAAGTTAGTCTACTTAATAGTCAACGTTTCAAGCATAAATGGTGGAGATAATTTATTCAAAATTTTAAAATTCAAAGTCTAAGACGTTATTCATACAATAGTTTAGGGTTTATAATTATCAAGGGATTGTCACATTAAAATCTGAGTGGGCCTTGTGTTGCATAGTACAGTGAGCAGTAACGGCATTAACAAAAAAATAATGTTGGGATTGAAAATGCTATGAATTTAAAAACTTATAGTCAATTTTAAATATTTAAGAATTTAAGGTTCAGGACGTTTTTTACGCAATATTTCAAGATCCATCTTACTCACTAAACCTATATATACACATACTTTCTCTATTAAAAAGTGTAAAATATTTTTAACCGAATCACTTCCCCAATAAATTAGTTAAATGTCTTCAAACTAACATTGTCTTTTAATATTTATTATTATTTAATAAGATATTCTACTTAAAATAAATATATTGTGATTTATTTATTAAAGTTATTTTAAAAAATACATTGATTATACTTTAAAACACATAAAATGCTTTACATTTTTTAACAGAGGGTCTTGATTATTATAGTATGAGTCACTAGGACTATTTTTTAAAATATATTATATATATATATATATATACATATATATAAGAAAAGGGATAGACTCTCAAGAGGATCGCCAACGTCAAAACGAAATGAATTACTGGAATATTTTTGGAAGTATCGTTAAGAATTGGCAATATGAGCAATATAATCAAGATATGATGTTGAAAGTCAGGTGATGGATATCATGGCTGTTCATGATACCATGTGTTTACTGTTTTAAAAACAAGAAAAACAAGCATTATCCAATAGGAGCTTTTGGATTGCTAACCAAGATTCTATTCATCCAAAAGCTAATTAAGGCCTAATTATGAATTTACATATAATTTGTTTTATGGGAAAACCAATGTCCAATGATCATTGAATGTGCAAGGAAGGGTTTGATTAGGATGCTCTTCTGGAAAATTTGTCCATTTGGTTGCCAACAAATTACTAAGAAGTTTAGGTTGTCGCTTTGTCTTTTGGAATATTACCATCTTTTTTTAACTTGTCTTGCCCTCGCTCATCTATTGGGTTCAAGATAAAAGAATGTATCCTATATTTTTTTTTTGTTATTACTATTTGTTTCTTTTAATTTAAGGGCATCAAGGCTTTAATCTTTTTAAGAAATTAGAATGAATTTCATGTATCAAAAAATGACAATTAGTTTCCAAAATAACGAATTAATGATGTTTAGGTTCATATTAGTTTTTTAAAAAAATGAATTTGCAAACATTTATTTAAATAATTATAAATTTAAAAGTTTCAATTATGAATAAAATAATTAAATTTTAAATATATGTTTTAATTTACAGCCAATATTTTTGTTTAAATTAATATTTACAACTCATTATTTTTTAAATTTTTAAATATCTAGTTCTGATAAATTCTACGTTTTTTAACTTAAATATCACTCCTCTTTCATGTATTCCGTAGAGAGTGTCCTTCCTTTTCAAAACTCGTTTGAATGGAAAATGTAACTTAAACTTATTTAATAATGAACTTATTTGTTTATATCATTAATTTAATATGAAATTCAGTTTTAAAACGGGAAAATTAAAACATGCTGAGTAGTTATTACATCAGGATAATGAATATTGCATCTCTCAGTTTATGCATTATGAAAAAGGATTCTCCTGTTAAAAAAGAAAAGAAAAAGGATTCTGTTCCATCAGCTGACCCGATGGAGACCGAATCGGTGCTAAAATTCTGGGGGGAATAAAAAAAAAAATCGGTGATAAAATGAAATGAAAATAAAATAAAAATTAAAAGTCATATTTTGAATTTAGCCAAGCATTTTTTATTATCTTTATAACTCATAAATAGTTATGGGATCAGGATCCTTGAGCAGATCTTTCTCAAATATAATAGTCACGTCCAAACCAAAAAAATATGATATATATATATATTAAAAATAAAAAACTCTAAATTAAAATAGTAAACACATACTCCCTCTGTTTAAAAATATAAGATATTTTTAATTAAATCTTACTCCTAATAAAGTAGTACCTATTTTTTAATTAATTCTATCCTTTCATATTTACTCATATTAAACACCTTATAATAAATATAAAGTCATTATAAATAGGGACACTTTTTGAAAAAAGGTAATGATTACACCTCAAAAAACTAAAAATATCTTATATTTTTAAGTATCCAACTCTTTAAAAAATATTTTATATTTTTGAATGGGGGGAGTATGTTTTAACTAAATTGTCCTTCAACTTTGTTGACCCAAAAAAATTTGTCCTTCAACGTTCACTAACTACATTTGTCTCCCAAAAATGATTTTTAATAATATTGAGTTAGTTTTGATGAATTAATTTAGAATGTTAGCTCTTTTTTTAATAAGTTTTGACTTAAACTCTACTTTGCTAAATCTTTTTAGATTAAACTAATATTAAACTTAATTGGGCTTATAGAACAAGCC